GTATGATTTATGAGAATTAAGAAAGGGAAAAAAGTAACATATGGATAATTTTATGCTTTTTTGGTATAATAGTAGTTGATTAAATGTATTTATTAACCTTTTTTATCTTTAAAAAATTAATTTTTATACAAAAAAGTTTGAGTAATAGAGACAAAAAATTATGAATGTAAAAAAATTAGTAATAGTTTTTATTACAATTATTTTAATGATAATATCAGTTTATTGTTTTTTTCAGTTTTGTTAGCCTATTTTTACCTAGCATTCAATTTAATCTGATGGTGTAGAACGGAAGTGACAGAGTTGAGTAACTTTATTGTTTAATATTATTAAATAAAGTAGAAGGTAGAAAATCAAGAAAATTAATGTGAAAATATGTGTAAACTATTATTATATAATGAAGTTAATCGCTCATATTCAGTAATAACTGCAGAGTCAGTTTTTATATAGTTTTGATCAAATGAAGTAATATCTAGTGAATCCTATAATGGGGCTCGACTAAGTACAACATATACTTGACTATATGCAAACATTTGTTCATTAATAGAAATCGAAATATTCGATACAGTTAGTCCTTGTGTCTTATATATAGTGAGCATGAAAGCATTTTGAAGAGGAAATTGATATCAACTTGATAGTAAGCCATTTAAAAGAAAATGTTTAGTTATTCTTTTTATAGTTGCTGTAATCATACTTAGTGATATTGGAAATATAATGTTGATAGTATCTTTATCAATTAATTCAATGATTATTTTAATAGACCTATTATAAAGACTATGATCAAACAAGGCAAAGTCGAGATACATAACACAAGCACTTTTTTGCAAAATTAAAGTTGCAGATAGAAGGTCTGGCGATCTTAGTATAGTGGTTAGGTTGCCAGACTGCCATGCAGAGGTCTAGGGTTCAAATCCTACTGTCGACGAAATTTGAATTATACTTAGACTTTGAATCTTAATTAATACAGTAAACCCTGCTCATTTCTGAGAGTTGTAACCCTGTAAGTTAAGTTACACCAAATTACCAGATATTGGTAGTGTGACAAGTATTTGAGGGGGCATAACGTTACATAAATAAATCTTGATAGAATATACGGGCATGAAGGACCTGCATAGTAGAAATCCTGAGTAGGTGAAGTAGTATGGCCTTCGATGGTCAATCCAGTTAACGCTTGATTCAGAATGAAACTTAGGTTCTAGAAAGATGCAGAATAGACTAGGTGCGAGTAAGTCCGATCTGCTAATCGGCAACACTAACCTGGTGTAGTAGCTAACTAGATTTGGAAGGATCTAACTTGTAAAACATCTAGATAGATCTAAAATAGATACTGGTAGAGAGCTACTGAAAGAACTGGAGTTGTACAAATATTGATAAGAGTAACTATAATTCTCCTAATTAAGTAAGGTTACTACAAATGTAGAGAGCAGATCAAAATTCAGGGTATACTTGTAAAAACTCGAAATGGTGTGATACACTAGGCTGGTAGTGGTAACACAAAACACAAAGGTACACCAGTTCTTCAGAATACCAATTATGTGGTAATAGTATATCTGTATTACGAAATCTATGGCTGGAAGCAACTTATATTGCGAAACATATCCTGGACCCTACTAACACTCGGAAGTATCTATAAACAGAAATTGGTGTACATACAACTTATCTCTAATGTTACATTTGGGCGAATCCGTATCTTAGAATACCATTGTCATGGCAACTCAAACTGCACTAAATTGGGAGTAGCTGTGAGGTTATGAATACCTTATCCAGTTACCAATTTGGGAGTTATTTATAAGAAGTATGGGGAGATACAGTGAATACAGCATAGTAGTCATACTTGAAAAGAAAGAGGTTATAGGAATCTAGGTAATACATAGTTGTAGGCTATGGACTACTCTAGTAGGTTCTGTACGAGAATAGACAGCGCATGTAAAATGTACTATAAGTCCTAAGCTTAATTTAGTAATGTAGATTAGTTTGAAATTAAAATATAAAAATTGTAACAGATAATTTAATTCGCAATAAACAAATTGAGCTAAGTACTCACCTTAACGTCTAAAAAAAAAAAAAAACTTGCAGATAGATTTGTACATTCGTGAAAATTACAATCATTATCAACTGCATTACATTCTTGATAATTAATATGGTCAACAGCAGTTGATATAATGGGCTTAGGATTATCTAGTTCTTAGAGTAAGATTAGATATGCTAATTTATTAATATTATCAGCTATAGCATAGAATCCAACCAAATGCATAGTATCAATAGAAGATTATGAAGATAGTATTTCTACTTTACTATTAATTGTTTGTAAGATGTTGGTTGATATTATGCCATTCTGAATTTCATTTAATATTTTATAAAATATCATATCATCATTTTGTCTATGAGGAGTTTTTAAAAATATTAGAAAAAATTCTGACTAGACAGGAGATCGAAATACTTGAGTGCCACTTACAGGAGGTAGTTGTGCAAAGTTACTAATTAACAAGACTTTAATTTCACCAAATAGTAAAGTATTATTGTATAGACAGGCAAAGAGATTATTAACAAATGTTAACAAACTAGCAGATACCATAGATATCTTGTTGATTATAATAATCTCAAGTTCCTGGAGAAATTGGTGATTTTCTTGATTATTTAGAGCTAAACTCACATGATTACTAGAGGATAGCCAGATTTTCAGTTGAGAATAAATTGTTTTACCATTGATATTCTGGGCTACTACACCTGTTGGAGCTATTAATGAGTACTTTTTATAATACGATTAAAGGTGGCTTACAATTAAAGTTATTAGATATAATTTTCTTATCCTTGCTAAACTAGTAAAGAAAAAATACAGATGATTATACTCATTTATATACCTCCATGCTGAAGTTAATATATTGAGTACTGCATATTGGTCTGATAGGGTCTCTAATAATGAATATTGAGAGATCATGAATAGAAAACATATCAAACTATCAAGCTAATTATATATAATGGTCACAATATCTTCTGCATACTGCGTATTATTCTATCTATTTGTTGCTAATAATTATTAGAAAATTCAGTAAATCTTGTTGATGCATTTTGACTAATGTTTCATACAACTTGATCAAACTGTTTAGGAAATTTTAAGTGAAAATGGTCCTGATAATTAGAATATGAACCTAATAGTTCATCCTCACTTCTACAGGATAAATGAAATAGAAGTTGTTAGTAAAAAAATGATTTACTATCTTCTACTATAAGATATTAAAATCTTACTAAAATAGATTTTTTTCTTTTAATTACAAATTTATTCTGTTAATCTATTTAGCAATTATTGTTTGAATTTAGTTGATTAGGTTTAATCTTGTAATTTTGATGATAATATAGATATGTAACATTATTAAAGTGCGAATCAATAAGAATAAGTCTGAAAAAATATTTATCAATAGCATCTGCTCAGTATGGATTAGAAGTTTCACTATTTAATAGATAAATCAGCTTTACATACTTTGACTACATATTGGGCAGTGTAGTTAGTAAATATTTACTAGCTATAGTAGAATGACAAATGAAATATCTAATTAAAAGTATCATCAATTCTATTGCACCAAAGCACCAGGCCAAGATATAAAAGCAATAGGTGTCATATTTAGTTAGCTTAAACAGGTTAGAGTTTTCCAGTTTGGTAATATATTTGGTCATATATCTAGCAAAAGATTTAGAGATGATGTATTGAAAATTATAATAGCTTTGCTATAATAATAAAGTTAGCACGTAATAAGGAACAATCTATCTATTTGATTCCTTAGTTTGATGATAAGTATAATGCAAGAAGATAGAATTATAATAAGTATAATCAGACAATAGTGCTGAAAACTTTTTTTTAATTGTTCTCTAGGAAAAAGCAGACTACCACACTTATTAGGGGAATAGTAATAGATTTGATAATTATGAACCAGTTCATAAAGAACTAGTTTGGTACAGTGATCAGGCTGATCTGCTCGAATAATATTATAATTTACTAGATTCTGAATTGATATATTGAGATATACAATACTATGGGTATGTATAGTGCCACAATTTTGAAATTTATCTCGTTCAAAATGATGTAACTACTTACCCCATTCACTTAGATTTAGATTTTCTATAATAAATTTTAAACAGAGTTTAGTCTCTGATAGTAATGAAAATAAGTATGTAAAGAGTGATTCGTTGGTAGAGTGCAATAGTTATCAGTATGTAATAGGATATTTAATAAATACAGCTAAAGCCCTTCAGCTATAGTTATAGTATAGAAGATTTGAGGTAGCTCAAAACTTTGAACTATCGCATATATAGAATGTTGATATTGACAAAAATATATATTGCAAATTTGGATATAAAAAGGGAGTGTAGTAGTTAAAGTTTTGTTAATTATCTGTCGATTACTGTAAATACTTTGATTAATTAAGTCAGCAATTGTTAGAAGTTGTTGTCGATTCATATCTCATTGATATAAAATATATTGCCTATTTTGATAGTTCTATAGCTTTTCTAAATTAATATAAGACCAATACGGCTAATACTAGTAGAGACGAAACTGAGAATTAGGACATAATAATCAAAGTTTAATATATTTAGCATATGTATCTATGGTTATAATGATTAATCAAATTTTTAGAGATTTCTTCCCAATGACCATGTTTAAGCAGAAAAAGATCAGGAAAAAGTATAGCTTTTAAATTGAGATTATTATATGGAATCAGCAAATTTATATTATTAAAATCCCTTATGAAACCTGCTAATAGTCTACTATAATGAAAATCTTCATCATGAACCTTAGAATCAAAATCATATAGTGGTACTACTATATTAGGATAATGTTATAGTAGTGTGTTATTGAATAATGTGTTTTCTTCATCAATAACCTGTGCTATAAGAAAAATGTTTGGAGGACATGTAAAAGTAATTAATAAAAACATTTGATCGAATTATTTAAAAAACTGATTATTGATTTTTAACTAGTTAGCTACATATAGCAAAGATAGAAGAAACTAGTTATTATTAGATAAAGGATCTAAGATAGCACCTAATGATTCAGTATTAATTTGCAAGATACAAACATTTCTTGAAAGACCAAATGCACTAGTAAGATAGTGATAATGCATAAAACTATTCACATTTTCTGCATGTTCGAGAGAGCAACTTAGGTAAATAGGCAAAAGCTAGTAGTGATAAAACCTCAGAACAATTGTTAAAGTATCTGGTATTGGATCAAGTGTTAGAGTATCGTAATGTTTAGCAATAGATATATATGAAGTACATACAGTAATATAGCCTTCTTTATTAGGATGTTCAGTGAGTAATAAATGTGGAAAAGCTCTACAAAGATCATAATTTGTATTGATATCATGAGAGACTCATTTTGCTTGAGCAAGAAATATAAGAATTGAGCAATATAAACAAGGAACACATGGAAATATATACAAAATTTCTGCTTGAAATTAGTGATTTAGAAAAATCAAAGAAAGAGAAAGTTGCCACAGAGAAAAAGATGTCAAGTTAGATGCAAATTGATCTCAATTTTCTGATAAAAAGGTAGATGTCTACGGATGATTAGCATTAACATTTATATGAGTTTGGTAATCTAAAAAAATATCATTATATAAATCATAATAGGGATCATTTTCATCTAAGTCAACTATAGACAGTTGAGTTACTTGAAGAGACATTATATGTGTTTTACAATGGTTAATATTAAATCACTTTTCAATTAATTATATTCAAGTAAAATAAGATCTACTAATGGTGAAAGGTAACATTTTCTATCTTATATAACTTTTAGAGAGGCATTAGGTTATCACCCTAAAGATAACAAATCAATAATCATAAGATATAATAACTATATTATGCAGAGACAATGAAAATATTATAATTCTTTATTTATCAAAATAATTTATTAATAACTCAATGATATTATTCATGATGCATATTTTAGAAATAAACATATATTCTTATTATTTATTTATTGATTTAATAATATGGTATAGAAATTAACAGATTCATCATACAAAACATTAACTTATAATGTTACTTTTAAGTGAAAAGTTGTGTTGATAAATAATTAGGCAGCAATTATGCCAAAACTAGAAATGAAGTTAATTTCGGTACTAATACATTATTTATGAAAAAAATAAATATATTTTTATAATTTTTCAACAGATTATAATATGAAATAGTCTAATAGATTTTGTGAGCTTATGTTTCTTTAGTTATACCTTCATCATGTTGATTGTAGTACTTAAATCCTATAGTGGACTTAATCAGTAATCAGTATAATAATAGCTTCATATTAATTAATAAACATGCTCGCATATGTGATGAACATATCAAGAGTAATAGAATTAAGAATAATGAAGTTATAGAATTAACTAAAGATCAGATGACACAAGTGTAATAATAATGATGTCTAAAAGTAAATTGAAGTCAATTTATTAAAATAGAAAACAACATATATATATAACTCATTTTATATATGTCAAAACAAGAAGATAAATATATTCGATCAAAAAAACTTGAACTTTATAATTATCACAATCTTTACTATATCCAAATACTATACTAAGGTAGTAACAGAATTTAACATTATTGTAAATCAGTAAATTGAACATAAGTTTATACTTAATAATCTGATTATGACAATAGTCCTTCAATAATGAAGCAGAGTAATATATACAGGAGTATATATTCCACAAAATGCAGAAATTATTTTTTAGTTTTCTTTGGAGTTCTCCTATTTCTTTTTTTTTTATGTTTTTCAACATCTTGTTTATGCAGTATTTCCAAATTATTATCTCCCAAGACATCCTCAGCATAGACATCTTCATTTTGAGCATCATCAATAATGGTTAGTTCAAAACAACTCAAAGCCAAATCAGACAATTTTTTATTACCTTTTTGAATCTGAACTGTTTCAGGAACAGTATTAACGGAAGCTACTGAAGTTAGAAATGAAGTTGTGAATTTATTAATAATAGGAGGTGAGCTAGTAGTTTGTTTAGAAGATCTTGATATCATTACACAGAACCTTTTTTGTACTCGAGATGTAGTAGATTCAATATCTTCAGTGATCAAGTCAATATCTGAGTAATTATTTGAAGCAACTGAGGAAGTGCCTCTTTGCATATCCTTAATTACATTAAGATTGGTGAATATAAAGTCAAAATCTGTAAGTTCAACTATAGTAAAGTCAGTCTTATACACCTAATAAAACTAGATACAATAAATATTCTGTTTGTTTAATACTTCAATTAACGTATAGATAGATATATCATGACACGTTAGTAAGATAAAATATTCTCAATTTCATATAAACATTTCTAGAATTCATACACGAGTTATTCTAATAATACCTAGTATCAAAGTATATAGATTCTACATATTCCTTTGGTTCACAGGTGACAAGTACTAAAAACATATAGTGAGAAATGCTAAGTAGGATTTCATAAGTTTGAAACTCACGATCAGGGTCTTTTAGCACAATAACACAAATGTGAGAAACAGCAAAATGCTGTTCAAGATTTTCAACTATAAATTTACTCATGAACATCACAATATCTCCATCTGAAAATTCAGTGTAAGGTTGATTAAAGAGATAAAAATATTTCCAACAAATAATCTTAAAATCATTTTCCATTATTTGATACTTAGTGAGACCTTGTATTAAAGAGTTAAAGTTCTCCTTTGTAGCTACTATAACAATTACTGTAGCATGTAAAGGCATATTTAATTGAATTAATTGAATTTAAGTAAAAGAATACTAAAATTCATAGCAAACATTTTTTACCTGCATATATATATACCTTCTACATATAGTAGGCTACAAGTACATAGTAGTTACAAATAACATAAAATAGTAGGACAATATAATCTATTATTTCACTCATAATAATAATACTTATAATAATATATTCGTAAATAAAATAGCAGAAACATTTAAATAATAATTTATTTCTAAATTTAAAAAAAAAGATCTCTTAAAATATAAACAACATCCAAAGTAGATATGAAATTAAGTAAAATTAAACATATCAAAATAACAAAATAAGAATAGAAAATTTTAACATCATTGAGACAATAATGATACTATATATTTTTTTGATAATAAAAAAATAGCAAGTAAAGAATGTCTAAACACAAGTGATATAAAATAGAATGCTAAATAATTCGAAAACAACAAAATTAGATTTGAGTTTTTAATATCGTCATGACAATAATAATACTATTTACCTTGACAAGAAAAAACTAGTAAGCAAAAAATAGCTAAATATAAATGATAGAAAAATATCATTAAGATAGCATATACTGTTCTAATAAAAATAAGTAATACATATAATAAAACTTAATACATAATGAACATAAAGAATACCTAAATATAAGTGATTTAAAATAGTATATATCATAATAAAATAACACTAAAACAACAAAATTAGATTAGAGTTTTTAACATCGTCAAGACAATATTGATACTATTTACCTTAACAAAAAAAAACCAGTAAGCAAAGAATGTCTAAATACAAGTGATAGAAAAATATCATTAAAATAGCATATACTATTCTAATAAAAATAAGCAATGCATACAATAAAACTTAATGCAATACAATAAACATAAAGTTTAACTTTAGAAAATAAAAAAAAATGAGAAGCTTAGCATATATTTAGTAAATACTGTAAAATTAAAATAATCAATTATACCTTATCAGGAAAATTTATTTAGATCAATTTTAAGAATTAGCATGAGCAAAGATCAATCTTATCAGTTGATCAGCAAATATTTTAATAGGCCAAAATCAAAGTTTGCTTCATGTTACTTGTATTCTGTAAAACTGATTGACAAAATTGACACTTGCTTACATGAGATTAAAAACCTTCAAATCGAAAAAAAACCATTTGTTAATTGATTCAAGTGATATCATCATGTTGTATATCTATATTAATGAAATAAATTCCAAAGAAAGTTGATGACATAACCAGACCTACTGGATCTCGAATGCTAATATAAATAAATGAGTTTAAAACATAACCTTCTAAAATTTTTGAATGCTTTAATTTAATTTTAATCAGAAAACTAATTTTTTCTTGTGAAATCCTATTAGAAATAAATCTAACAACAATAATTTTTTATAAAAAGAAATAACTAGTTAATCAAAGTAAATTCGATTTATACTTCTAATTAATTTAATTAATTTTTAAATTAAAAATAAATTAAGCAATTGTTTACATGATACAAAAAAACTATAAATACAAACTGAGTATGCTAAAAAATTTTAGAGAGGTTCAATCGAATTAATCAAATGAAGCAAATTAATCTGATCATGCATATTAATATACATAATATAAATAAAATTTTATAATAAAAATCTTTACTGTTATAGTCAAAAAGAAAATATAGCTGAGGATAGGATTATAGTATATTTTCTAAAGGAGTAAGGAGAAGGTCTCTCCTTGTTCGATACCTGAGTGAAGAGTAATAGAGTTTGATAGTTCATAAGCTGTGATTACTTTAGCTTTTCTATTTTGATATAAAAATTTTATAAAGTTAAGTGTATTCTGGGAGATGCCAATTCTTTTGCAGGAATCAATGAGGCAGTTTATATTGATTTTGTTAAAAGTTTTGAATATATCTTAGAAAAGTATCTATGCTTCTTTATTGTTATTTTTGTAATGTTTGATTGTGTTTAATAATATTTGTATTAGTGTATGTGTTGAATAGTTTTTAGTTGCTGCAAAGTTTAGGTTACTTAGAAGATAGTGTTGATTTATGATTTGGTCTAGGCATGTTATAAATACTTTAGTTAAGCATTTTTTAATTAGTTCGATAAGAAAGATTAGATGAACTTGATCTAATATAAAGTCCTAAGAGGATTTTTTTGAAATAAGAAAGAGATTTGAGGTTTTCCATTCTAATGGTATGCTTTGGAAAAAGAGATATTTGAAGAGAAAAAGGTGAATGATATTTTGACTTTTGGAATTGAGCATTTTAATATGTTCATAATTAGTTTCAGATAGTCTTGTAGCTTTGTTATTAGGAAGCTCTTTTATTATTTTTGACCATTCATCAGATGTAATTTCTGAATGAAGGTTTTAAAAGAGATGTTTATTTTCTTGGTGTAGTTTGTAGAGGTCAAAGAAAGGGAAGTTAGTATCCATAGGAGTATATAGAAGTTCTTTGAAATATTTTTGAAAATAATTGTTGAGAGCGAATTTGATTTCAGTTGGTTGTGTAGTTAAGTTGTTGTCAGAGAAAAGTCAGTTTAATTTGATACTATTATTTGGTTTTTCAAGGGTTTTGTGGAAGAAGAGTTTAGAATTTTGAGTGAAATTATTGTTCCTTTCTTGGAGTTTATTTTGGATTTCAAGTAAGGTTTGTTCCTTTTTTTCTTTTTGTATAAGTGTTTTAAGGTTTTTGATTTTACTTTTAAGAAGTATTAGAATTATATTTTGATTTGAATTTGCTTCTAAGAAGTTTTGGTATGATTGTGAGAGGAGAGTATTGTTTGAATATTTTTTGATATAGGAGTTGTATGTTGTAGAAATATCAGTAGTTGCTATGAGATTTTTAATAGAGATAATATTTTTGAGTTGATTATAGAGAGGTAATAAGTTAGGTTTTTAGTATTCTTGTAGATTTGAGTTGGTTTTGATTTTTTTGTATAGAATAAATTTTAAAGTAGCTTTGTTAATTGCCTTTTTTATTTGATTCCAAATAATATTTAGATCATTGGTATTTATAATTTCTTTGATAAGAGTTAGTAAGCATATAAGGTTTTGTTCAATGTGGTATCAGTATTGTTCGATTTGATTTGTTTAAGTTGAGTTCCATTTAAAGAAAGTCTTGTATAAGTTTCTGCATTAGTCAGTTTGTTAGTAATAATTGTTGTTTCAAGACTAATGATAGAATAATCAGAAGTAGTGAATAGATTTTGTATGATATCTGCATAGTTCAGAAAGGTTATATAGATATTAGTTCAAATTTAGTTAATTTAACTAGCACTATTGTTGTGAGTATATGTAAATTTGATAGAAGTAGAGTAGAATAATCAGAAGGTATCATGAAAGTTGTGATATTTGAGTATTTTGAGTAATTAGTTTCTGGAGAGTTATATTTTTTTGTTAGTAATCTATCTATTCTAGAGTTTGGAGTACCATTTAGATCATCTATTATTATAATTTTATAATTTGTTGTATTTAAAATTAGTGTAAGATATGAAAGTATTTCTTTGCGTTGTTGTTTTTTTTCCTGTATTGAAAAATAAATTTGAATTAATTTAATATGATTATTTTTGAAATAGAGGTCTATTTCAATGAGAAAGTTTTAGAAAGTTTAAATTTTTTCAATATGTTTTGCTAGTTAGTTGTGTTGTTATCAAATGAGTTTTAGTAATTTTATCTTTATTTTATATTCATTAATTAGTTATTCTTTATTTGTATTTTATG